CTCAAAGACACAGCTCTCTTGAACACCACTCAACCCTTAGGGTCCATTTCCCTTAGATGTGGGTGATGATAGGACATGCTGAAATTCTTTCAGTATTTCTTGTTGAAGTTAAAATCAAGATTGATTGAGAACAACTTTCAGGCATTCACTCAACTTCTAACTTCGGTCTTTTAACATTTGGTGAGATACTTCCAGGGAGCATCCTCCTGTGTAGAGTTCTGCATTTTTGGTATGGAAGGACTGTTGTGATTATATTGAACACTGGATTTCTGCTCTCTGCTTCTTACCCAACCCTCTTTTCCCCTTAGATCATAAATGTCAAAGGAGTCAGGTTTTGTTCCAACAATGCTGTGGAGTTTTGCTGGATTATTTATCTTCTACCACTAATAAATTGTTTTGCATGCTGTATGTTTTTTTTTTTAAATAGACCTAGTAAGAGCATCTTTATATTTATAGAAACAAAGAGCAAAAATTACATAGTTCCCATATACCCCATTCCTCAGTATCTCATATAATTGATGATACGTTATTACTAACAAAAGTCCATAATTTACATTATGGGTCACTCTTTGTGATATACAGTCCTATAAGTTTTACATTTATCTACCATTATGGTATCATACTGCATCGTTTCACTGCCCTAAAAGTCCTGTGTGCTCCGCCTGTTCACTCCTTTCTCCCCCTTCAGGCCTGGCAAACCGCTGATTTTTTCCCCTATTATCTCCATAGTTTTGCCTTTTGCAGTATGTCCTATAGTTGGAATCATACAGAGATAATTTTTTTTTTCAGACTGGCTTCTTTGACTTAGCGATATACATTTAACATTTCTCATGTCTTTTCACAACTTGATACCGATTTTTTTTAAAGATTTTTAAACTTGATATTTTTAGAGAGAGAGGAAGGGAGAGAGAGAGAGAGAAACATCGATGTGAGCGTGAACATTGATTGGCTGCCTCCTGCACACCCCCTACTGGGGATTGAGCTCATAATCTGGGCATATGCTGTGACCGGGAATGGGGCCAGCAAACTTATGGTGCATAAGATGATACTCAGCCAACTGAGCCACACTGGCCAGGGCCCGATTTCTTTTTATTGCTGAATAATACTCCACTGTATGGATGTACCATGCTTTGTTTACCCATGCACCTCCTGAAGGACACCTACTGAAATGAACATTTGTGTGCAGGTTTTGTGGACATGTTTTCAACTTACCAGGGTCAATGCCTGGGAGCACAACTGGTGATCATGTGCAAGCCTATGCTTAACCTTGTAAGAAATTGCCAGACTGTCTCAGTTCACTGGGGCTACTATAACAAACGCCATAGACTGGGGGGCCTAAAAACCATTGAAATTTATTTTTCGCAGTTTTGAAGGCTGGAAAGTTCAAGATCAATGTACTGGCAGAATCAAGGTGCTGCTTCCTGGCTCATAGATGGCTGTCCTTTTATAGTGTCTTCACATGGCAGAAGAGAGAAGGGAGCTCTCTGGAGTCTCTTATAAGGGCACTGATCCCATTCATGAGGGCTCTGCCATCCTGATCTAATCACATCTCAAAGGCCCCACATTTCAACATAGGAATACGGGGGAACACACCTTCAGCTCTGGCACTGTCTTCCAAAATGATTATACCGTTTTGCTTTCTCATCCGCAGTATATGAGTTTTTGTTGTTCTACATCTTCGCCAGCATTTGGTATTTTCAGTGTTTTGGATTTGCTGTGTTTTTAAACTACAGCATTTTCTTTTAAAGGTGGGCAAATTGGAAATAATGCATCATTTTTATTACTGATCTGGGTTTGTTGACCTCTTGAAGCTTGTTTTGAGGAGGTTTATGTTCAGAGTCTGGGGATTTTCAGGCAATGTTGCTGAGCTATTTCTGGAGCTTTGCAGCCTATAGACCTGAAAATGAGCCCTTCGTCTGTTGTTAAGCTTGCAGTGTGACTGTAAACAAGTTACCTAACCTCTCTGAGCCTTAATTTCCTCATCTATTAGATGCAGATTATACCCAGCTCATAGCACTGATGTGAGGAATAAATGAAGATGCATCTAAATTACTTTCATGTGTGCCTGGCACATGGTAGCCACCAAATGATTGTTGCTGGGAGGAATAGTAAGTTCTTATATCCATCAGTTGCCTTTAAAAACTATATTTTTTAGAATAGTTTTAGATATATAGAAAAATTACAAAGACAGTACAAAGAGTTCCCATATACCACATCCAGTTTCCTTTATTATTAACATCTTACATTAGTATGGTACGTTTGTTATAATCAATGAACCAATATTGAGATATTCTTAACTAAAGTCTATACTTTAGATTTTCTTAGTTTGTTTGTTTTTTCTAATGTCCTGCTCCAGGATCCCATCCAGAACACCCCATTACATTCAGTCCTCATGTCTCCTTAGGCTCCTCCTGGATAGGACAGTCGATCAGCTGCTTTTGATTACCTTGACATTTATTTTTGATGTAGTCCATGGGACCTCAGTTATAAGATTCTTAGGTTAAAGCTTTATTTCACAATTATCATGGAGCTCCCAATAGTAGCCCTTGTACTGGGTATGTGGTAGGCCCCGTAGGATCTTACGCTGAGGTTCCCCTTATCTGAGACCTGCTTTTCTTCTAGAAAATTGAACCGGGCTGCCGAGAACCTCTGCCATGTTCTACCCAGTTTGTCCCTACCTAACTTCTGGTAAGTAATGCCCGATTGAAAATTGCTAATTGGGCTGGTATGGCTGCCTGAGCAGTGAAGGAGCGCAGCAGTGTGGGGGGTGGGGAAAGGAGGGTGCCCTGTGTTTTTCCCACAGTCCCACAGCCTGCCGGTGGCTCCCTGCGGCTCCCTGCTGGAAGTGTGCCACCTCAGCATGTTAGTTGAACTGTGGTTTCCCTGAATATTAATCTCTTCACTGTTTCGGCTAGCGTTTCCTCCTTGACATCATCAAATGAAAACGCATCTTGGGTAGGGGTTTCAGTGTGCTGGTGCCAAATCAAAGTTGGTTTATCACCAAGCACCCCTCGCCAGAAACGGGCAGACTGTGTGCTCGGGCCGTGTTGCTTCTCTTCTGAAATTGGCTCTTTTCTAAGAACTGAAAATAAGCACCCGGGGCTGTGACTTCACTTTTCTTGGAACTGCTTTACATTAGAAGAAAAAAAAGAAAAGAAACTCCTCATTTAGCTGGTTTTTGGATCACTGAGTTCCTTAATTCTTTCTGTTGCATATTCTTGTAAAGCTCATGTTTTACCACAAAAATCTTATGCATCAGGTGAAGCAGGAAGGGGAAAGAACGACACGTGAAATAGTTGTTTTGTCTCCTGGCCTGTTTATGATTTAATGGTCAAGGAGAAAAAAGGACCCGAAAGACGCGCTGTGTGTAGCCGTCTGCAAATCCCAGGGGTGTCTGCCGTGACATGGTCCTGAGATCTGTCGGGCCACCAAATGTCCCGTGTGGCCTAGGCTCATGTTGCTAAACCTCAGGCCACGGCCCAAACTCCCAGAACAGCTGCCTGTTTGCAAGAATAAGAAGGGGGGGGGGGCGGGTATTAATTTTCTGCCATAGTGACCTACATTTAGCAGACATCTTGGAGGCTGTGCAAAAAGCACATCTTTTAGGAGCCCCCTACCTGCTTGAGATAAAGAAAAGACTTAGCCACACCTGGACTCCAATCCTGGTCCTTTCCTGTCTGCACTTGGGCTTGGAGGTCAGTCTGTGAAGTGGACATAATTTGTCTACAGGATGGTACCCGGAAGGTTCATAGAAAACCAGATTAGAGCCCCCTTCTCAGTGCAGATCTCCACAGATAGGCACATTCTCTGCCTGCATTGGAGGGGCCTCCAGTGATGTGATTGTGTCTTATATCTCTCTCTGTCTCCACCCAGCATCGGGCCTTGTGTAATATATATGGGCAGTGAGTAAATGTTCAGTGAATGGCTGGTTTTTAGTTAGGAAGACAAAGGGAATATACAAGCAAAGGCACAATGTTCTTTTAAAAAATATATGTATTTTTATTGATTTCAGAGAGGAAGAGAGAGAGAGAGAGAGAGAAATATCAATAATGAGAGAGAATCATTAATTGGCTGCCTCCTGCTTGCCTCACACTGGGGATCAAACCTGCAACTGGGCATATGCCTTCACCAGGAATTGAACTGTGACTTCCCGGTTTATAGGTCGATGCTCAACCACTGAGCCACTCTGGTCAGGCAAGGCACAATGTTCTTGAATTTGCACTTGGCACACAAGTTTTCAAATGAAAGGAGCCCTTAAAGGCCATGCTTTAGTGTACCTTTTAAATCAAGCACCCCAGGGCATTTTGTAACTGGGCTGAGGGTGCTTGCCAGAATGTTTTAGAATGTTCTGAACAGATAAAGACTCGGTAAAGACAGAAAAGTCTGGAGGAAAAGGAGGGAGACAGCTGAGTTGACGAGGGAGGGTGGGGGTGGTAATGGGGTTGGAGGGAGAAATCTAGTCCTACAAGAATCATCAACCATCTCTGGATAAAGAATGCAAATTCAACCAAGAGTTATGTGCCAGGGACTGCTAGAAGCTTCCCCCTGTTACTTCATTTTACTGTGTCATTGCCCCTGTGCCTATGAAAACTGCAGCCAAGGGGACGGAAGCCCTTTGTCCAAGAGCATCTGGCCAGCAGGCTGTAGCAGAGACAAGTCTCAGGCCAGCTGGTGTCCAATGTTGTAGGGGAGGGGTCCAGGGCCTTCATTCTGAGATGGCTTAAAAAATGTTTTTAAAAATTCATTTCAGAGAGGGAGAGGGAGCGAGAGATAGAAACATTAATAGTGAGAATCACTGATCAGCTGTCTCCCGCACACCCCCTGCTGAGGATTGAGCCCGAAACCCGGGCATGTGCCCCAACTGGAATCGAACCCGTGACCCTTCAGTCCTCAGGCCAATACTCTAGCCACTGAGCCAAACCAGCTAGGGCTTGAGGTGGTTTTTATGGAGAAACTCCTCAGACCAGCTCTGGGAGCTCTTGGGTGTTTGTTGTTTTTAAGAATGTTGGGTAATACAGTCAGCCCTGTGCTATTCTCCAATAAGGGCTGTTCTCTCCAACCCTTTTTTCTAAGAGGATTTATATCAGCAGTCTTGCTTCATCAGACTCAGCCTTCTTCGTAGTCCTCCAGTGGGAGCTCATGGTCTTTACATTTAGGTGCTAGCACCCCCTGCTGGCGTGTGCCATCCAAAGTGGGATGACAGCCAGTGGCCACAGAAGGAAGCAAAAAAACAAAACCAGGCCATAAGCTTCACAGCTGTCGACTACAGGGGTGTTGCCCATTGTGGCCAAGCTGTCGTGGGGGTAGCGTGTGGGGGATGGCATTGGATTTGGCAACCAGATGGGTTCCAATGGTCCTGCTTTGAGCCCCAGCTCTACTGTGTATTAACTGGGTGACTGACCTCCATCATCTGTAGCAAAGGGAAGATTTGGAGTCACAGAGATGAGGGAGCTTGTCCACATGGCTGTTAACTGGAATCCAGGCAGTCACTTCATTGGTCTTTCTGTCACCAAGCACTTCCTCAACACCTGCTGGCTTCCAGGCTCTGGGGATATGCGGTGAACAAGACACATGGCTGCTCCCTGTGAAGCACGGTGTCTTCTTAGCCTTCAAATCCCTCTGACCTTCCACTCTGCCTCATCTCTCTTGCTTGCCACCTGGTCTCCGCTTTTAAGGGCTGATGGTTAGATTGGGCTCATCAGGCTAATCTCCCCAGCTCAAAGCCCTTCATTATCTAATCACATCTACACAGTCCCCTTTGCCACATAAGGTAACATTCATAGGTTCCAGGGATTAGGATGTGGGCATCTTTGGAGGGAAGGGAAGGCATTCTACCTACCCAGCCTGCCCTCTGGCCCCTAAAGATGCAGGTCCATCCAGATGCAAAATAACTCACCCTGTCCCACAGCCCCAAAATTCCATCCCATTTACAGCATCTCATCATCGAAATCATCTGTATCTGGTAGGGGGGAGGCCCTGGATATAATCCACCTGTGAACCTATGGGACTCAAGAAATAAGTTAACCCATCACCAAAATATAGTGGTGGCAACCCAGAGGGGATGCAGTCTAGTTCTGTCCCTAATCCAAGGGACCGGAGACATGACAAAGATGATGAAGAAGAAACAGGGGCTCTAGCACCTGGAAACACCACACTATTACGTTTCCCTTCCTCCCGGGCAAACTGGAAAAGGGAAGGAGTTTCTCAGAGTGGCCCGTTAGCACCTAGGTTTGTATCCACTGAGATGAGGAACAAGCAGAGCCAGAGTTCCCATGAAATACTCCGTGCCTGTTTCAGAACGTAAGTCAGACTCAGATCTTCCCCTACACAACTGTGCTGCCGCTTACAAGGACTTACGGTTTAATTATATATTTTCTGGGTAGCTTCACTAATGAACATAGTCGGTCTCTGTGAGATATCACAACTGAGATGTCAAACAACTGTTTTAGACCTCCCATCCAGAACAGAGTGGAAGTTTAAGTAACAGAGACTTTCCCAGGTACTACCGCGGCCGTGCATCCTGCACGTGGACCTCAGCACCGTCAGGCGTGGCTCATTACCAGCCCCACCTGAGATGCCTTTAACCCAGTCTCAACCCTAATCTAAGTATTTAGAAAGCTCTCCGGGTGCATCTTAAAACCTGCCAGGTGTAGCAGCCGTATATCTACAGGTTCCTGGCCTGGAGCCTACCGGCCAGGAGTCAGAGCTGCCCTGGAGATGGTTGACCCGCTGAGCCTTTGCCTTCTCTAATGGGCCCTGGAGTCCAGAGGAGCTGGACCTTGCCCAGAGGAGGGACAAATGAAGGATTGGCACAGGGGCCCTTAGGACCAGGACCAACAGGGCCACTTGTCCCCAGTTTCCCTGAGGAAGAGGAAAAACAGGATGGGAAAAGCTCATACAAAGGAACCGGGCTACACCAGCCACTGGCTGTTCTGGGCCGTCCTCGACCCTCCTTGGTGCTGGGCTGCCGCTAAGGACAACTCAAGGTACTGATATCTGGTTTTCTTTTTTTAAAAGTCCATTTAAAGGAAAATACTAAGTGAACAATAGAATGGGTGGTACGTGAACGACCTATGTTTGGGTAGACTGTTTGCTTTTACTTGATGTTCTAGAACAGCGATTTTCAACCGTTTTCATCTCATGGTACACATAAACTACTAAAATTCTGCAGCACACACACAAAAAATTTTTTTGGTCAATCTGACAAAAAAGATATGGTATAATTTTGATTGATTTACAAAAAGAAAATAGTAATTATTTACTTTTTGCTCCAAAGTGACTTAAAAAAAAAATCCTCACCCAAGGATATGTTTTTATTGATTTTAGAGAGAGCAGAAGGGAGGGGGGGACATCAATGTAAGAGAGAAACATCAGTGTGAGAGAGAAACATCTATTGGCTGCCTCCCCTAAGCACCCTGACTGAGGATTAAACCTGCAAACTTTTGGTGTACAGGGACGATGCTCCAACCAACTGCCACACCGGCCAGGGCTTCAAAGTGAGTTTTTAAAAAATCAGCTGCCTATACTTGTATATAATGATTTCTGGTACCAAGAATTAATAGAAAAAGGCCTCTAGGAAAAACTAAGAAAATCTGAAGAGTATGCCCTTTAGTTAACACTTGGAGTGGGGGAAACGAGTTAAGTCGGCTCGCGTGAATTGCGCGTACTCCGCGGGAGCCGTCTTTAACTCGGTTCATGTTACAGTTTTTCCATAGACTTAATATTGTTCTGAAAAATGAATTTTATTAATTAAAGAATACAGACGGCCCAGCTAAATTTGAATTTCAGATAAATGGATAGTTTCTTAGTATAACTAAATCCCCAAAATTGCATGGGACATACTTATACTAAAAATGTATGTTTATCTGAAATTCAAATTTAACTGGGCCTCCTCTATTTTATCCGAATTTGAATTTAAATAGCCACATGCGGCCGGTATTGGCGGCACAGGTCCAGAGCTGTCTTGGCTTGCCCAGAAGTTAGCAGTTAAGAAACAGGTGAGACAACTGAGGCCCTGAGAGGTTATAGACTTGCTCAGCAGCTTCTCATTGCAAGGCCAGCCCTCTCCCACCGCACTGACCCTGGTTCCTGCAGAGAAGGAGCAGTGCTCTCAGGGGGCCTGCAGGAGCCCGTATGGCAGCGTGGGGCCTCGTGGAGGCCTCAGGGCCAGCTGAGGATGCAGAGTCTTTGGCAGATGTGACAGCTGGGACTGGCGCGTGAGGCCATTTGTCAGGGACCATAGCGCCGAATGACAGATTGGCAGTTTGTCTGACACAGCAGGGCCTCGCTGGCTGGAATCAAGGTGCTGACTGGCTGAGCTCTTTTCAGGAGGCTTCAGGAAGAATCCTTTCCAGTCTCCCTCCGATTGTTGCCAGTGTTTAGTCCCTTGCCATACAGGTCCTCATTCCCCCGCCGGCTGTAAATCAGGGACTGACTTAATTTACTTACTTAATTCCCAGAGGCCACACTCATTCCTTGCCATGGATCCCCCTTCATCTTCAAGCAGCAACAGTGCCAAATTCTTGTGCTTCCCATCTGATTCCCTCAACTTTCTTCCAGGCCCCAGGTTAAAGGGCTCATATGATAAGGTCAGGCCCATCCACCTCAAGGTCAGCTGACTTGGGGCTTTAATTATACAGTGGGGCCTTGACTTATGAGTTTAATTCGTTCTGAGACCGAGCTCGTTAAGGAGCTCGTTAACTCAAATTACTCTATCAACTCAATGCAAAAAATCGGCTGGTATCTCAAAAAAACTCGTTAGTCGGGACACTCATAAGTCAAGGCCCCACTGTATCTCCAAATTCTCCTCACAGCACCACTCAGATTAGTATTGGATTGAGAAGGTGCGTATACACCAGGGTGGGAATCTTGGAGGGGGCTCCTGAGAGTTGTCCTCCTCAAGGACCTGGCAGATGCAGAGCCTAAGGAGTAAAGCAGGTTCTAGAGACAGACATCATGGGTTCAAATCCCAGCTCCACCACCACTCAAGGTGTGTGCGGTCTGGGGCACCCAGCCTCCCTGGGCCCCTGTTACCTCGTCTGCAAAATGGGAATAAGAATGGCCTTGTTAAGCTCCTGTGGACTGTATCTGACAGGTTGATGCTCTTCTCACTTCCCTGCTGCCCGAGCTGCCTAGCTTTGTCTTCACAGGCGTGAGAATGGCGTTTCCCTGCTTTCCCCACATTCTCCGCCTTTCTGGCTCGCGATAAGGCTCTTTAAGGAGCATGAGCTCACTGTCTGAGCTCACTGTATTGGGATCTTGGTCTCCCCGCTTTGGCAGGCTGGGCCAGACTTGGCTTGGGAAAGAAATGTCGGTGGGAAAAAATTCTTTAAAAAAAAATGTATGCATGTAGTAAAATGTATATCCAATTGCAGCATAAACATGATTGCACTCGTTGGTGTGTGTGAGTGAGCCCGAAGTAGGGAGTGTTTGGTAGGTCAGTTTTCCATCCACTGCCTCCTTGCACGGCTCACGGAAGATGAGACCCTTGGGTGTTTGCGTTCTGGTGGAGGCATTTTGCCATCAGCATCCTGTTTATTCCATGGTGATGGGCCTTCGGTACCCAATTTGCTTGAAAACCTTGTGAACTTATTAATGCAGAAAGACAGAATGAGGAAACTTGGGTAATGTGAAAGCAAGTGGCCAGTTTCCCAAAAGTTCCAACATGGGTGGTTTATAACTAATTGGAAAAACATGTCTCTTCTCAGTTGCCTTAATCATTTTTGCAGGGCCTGGGCCTCAAGTGTTCCCAGAAGGTTTTGGGGGGTGTAATCAGCTCCCAGGGTGGTCACCAGAGTGACAAAAGGGGCAAAGAGCTCATGCGTGCGTCTGAGGTTCCTTGAGGTGTCCCCAGCTCAGTCTGGGCAGCGGGGACTGGTCTGTCACCAGCCTTCCTGGCGAGGGCAGAGGGATAGGTGGGCAAGGACAGGGTGGGGATTCATTCTGGCTTTAAATTTAGCCTTCAGAGCTAACAGTCTGGAGGCAGAGTTTGGGACTTAGACAAGAAAAGAAACAGCCTACATTTAGTTTTCTCTGAGCTGGGGACTTTAGCTCTTTGATTATAAGCACAGTGCTGGGGTCCTTTCATCCTTTTACAGAGTTATTTTTAGAAACGCAGAAGTTGACAGCCCT